GAACCAGAGAGTTCTGAAGCTCCAACAACTCGTCAATCAGATCGTCTGAGAAGACGTCCCAATTGGCACTCAGATTATGTTATAGAAGGAAATATTGCATACTGCCTTTTAACAGAGGGCGGTGAGCCATCAACATACCAGGAGGCAATAAACAGCTCAGATGCTTCACTATGGATGATGACGATGCAAGAAGAAATCAAATCCCTTCATAAAAATAATACATGGGACCTTGTGCCACTACCACAAGGAAGGAAGCCAATTGGTAACAAATGGGTCTTCAAAATCAAGCGAAATGGTGACAATCAAGTTGAGAGGTATCGTGCAAGAGTGGTGGTCAAAGGATATTCTCAAAAAGAATGTATTGATTTTAATGAAATATTTTCTCATGTGGTTCGACTAACAACAGTTCGAGTAGTATTGGCAATGTGTGCTACATTGAATTTTCATCTAGAGCAGCTAGATGTTAAAACAAATTTTTTTCATGGAAATCTTGAAGATGTCCAAACCAAAACAAACAAATCAAATCAAACAATTAAGCTAAGCCCCAGCTCTCTGTGGGGAAGGACACAGTCCTTGCACCCCATCAGCCTATCCCTAACACAGCACTTATCAAATTTAAAATTTTTATTATAATTTTGGATATTTTTATAATAAAACCATTATTTTTATAAGAGAAAGATTTATTTAAATTCAATTATAACATTATTAACAAAGGATTAATCTGACCTTAAATTTTTATTAAAAACCTGATCGAAAACTTTTTTTTCGTCTTCCAAAAATTCATCCTATAGGTCGGGACGAGTTGAAATCCTTCGCTTTCAGTTTTTTTATCCCTGTGTATAATATATGTATGTTTATCTAGACCCTACAGAAGGGAAAATCCCTTATAAATAACAACTGAATCAGATTATAGAAACGATTATTATAAATGAATAATTTGATTAATTAATTAACTAAAGCAATATGCAGGCATATTATTATATGGGGCTTAAAATTCTTTAGGTTAAGGACCACACCCCCGCATAAACCTCCATGTGGTGCCAAGAAAAAAAAAGACATTTGCTTTTTCCATAATCATTAATATTTTAATTAATTTAGTCACATAATTAAAAAGGTTAAAGTTTGCATGTTTATCTCTATGTTTCAGCGAAATTTATGTTACTTTTTAGATAGAGCCTCCGGAACATGAACATGCACAACGCCTTCCGCAATTCTTATTTGTCTTTGCCTTTTATTATTATTATCTGGAATATATTATAATATGCGTTATTTACGTTTCTAAAAAATACAACAAAATAAGAGATGAATGGAAATGTTATATAAAAGTATAATAAAACATAAATTATATTAAAATATACATAAAATAAATTAATTATATATAAAATCTTATATAAATTGATATGATACTTTAAAATATGAAATTTTATTTATTCTTTCGCTTTTCTTCTCTTCTCTTCTCTTCAGTCACTTTATAATGATAGTCGTTGATTTCTTGTTTGTTTAGAAAGTTCTAAAAATTAGCTGACCCTTATTCTCATATGTAATAGGGTAAGGGGGAGGTAGGATAGTAGGCTGCCCCCAAAGTCAGGTTGAGAGCAGCTTCCGTATGAGACCTCCGAATTATGAAATGCCCTCTGTGGGACTCGATCCCACGACCCCAAGGTTAAAAGCCTTGTGCTCTACCAACTGAGCTGGATTGTTGCAAAAATAATAGTATATAATTTGTTATATTACTTTATTTCACGCATGGGGTCGCTCTATATATTTGAGGTTTTAAAAATAACTAATGTATTTTGGATTTTGCTTCTTTTCCGTTTTATTGTTATTAAATTTATAGAGAAATTATATTATGTAGAGTTATTATTACCAAAAATAAAAATTTTATATTAGAATTTAAGGTCTACATTTTAAGATAATACCAATACATAAAACTTAATATTAATTATCAAAATAAATTCATCGAATGACCATATTTTTATATAAAATGAAAGAATTTTACATACAATGAATGGTAAGTGATTCATTGTACCACTTGGAATTTGTTTTGATATATCTTTGGGGGGAAATGAGAGCTTAAACTATAATGGATTTGTATAATGTAAAGCAGTGTGCTAAAGGTAAATTGCATCGATTCCTTTACACTGATCCCCTCCCTTTTTTCTCTGGTTCAAACCCATGCTTATCAAACTCTATAGGGAATGTCTCATCTTACACTCAAAGGAATAATTAAGCTCAGAATTATTCCATTATTTCTCCTTGATAATGTTTTTACGGATGAGACTGTTTGATTCTTGAGAAAAGCAGAATATTTACTTGGATACTGTAATCGAAATTACACCAAAGGGATTAGATATGGTAGTTTTTTTTTTTAAATTTGGAGAATGTTACATTAAACCTTCACTTTTTGCGATTTGAATGGACAATTGGGTTGATAACAACCACAGGCAAAAGGGTCTGTTTGAATTTAGTATCCTTCAAAAGCTGGAAAAGGAAAGATTTTAAGAGAAAATCTTCAAAGGAAATTGAAAAAGAAAGATACAATGGAACCGTATTTTTCTTTATATCAAAGACTCCATTATTTCACCACACAACAGTGGTGTTTGAACAAAAATATTCTTTATTCTTTTATATATATATATATATATTTAAAAACGACCGATCATAAAAGAATTGATGATGTTAAAATTTTAATTATGAATTAATTAATAAATTATGTAAATTAAATTATTATGATTTCATTCTTTTAATAACGTCAAACATTCTAAGTAGTATTGAATTACACCAAGTGGCCCATAAAGATATGACATTAACATGGAACCGGACCAGCCTAGTGCCCTAAATATGCAGTATTTTATGGTTAAAGTAACACCAGTAAATTAAACAAGGTGTGAAGATGCCCCGAGATTGTTCCGGATAAAGGGCTTGTAGTGTTTTTTTTTTTATAAAAAAAAAACAATATTCTAAAACTTTCGAAAGCAACATGGTGGTGGAAAAATTGACTGATTGCCATGGCAGAATTGAGCAAATGTTGAGTGGAAAGAACACGAGTGTGGTGTAGTCTGATAATTTTAAGGTCCCCAAATCTTAAGAATCTTGCAGCAATATATCTTGGTACAAATTTTCACCAAATAACAAGGGTTACAAAGGACAGGCCATGAAATTATGTTGTAAGCATGTATGTAATCTGTTTAAAGTTTTTTCTCAAACTGATCATCTGTTTCCACAAGTACAAACACTTGCCAGTATTTTAATGTACTCTCATATCATTTCATGCATTGCATTTTGCAAGGAAACTGAACTAATATTTTCTTATCAGTACATTACAAATACAAACAATAATTCAAATTGTAATTCCTCATATTTAAATGAATCAGAATCACCAAAATTCTCCCACCCCTACCCTGATATAATATAGGTCACCCCACTCTGCTATAATATGTCACATCAATTTTAGATATAGAACTTTTATTTCTATGCATAAAATAATTTAGACAAAGAAAAATTATTTATGGTACCCCTTTTCCGTTAACTACATTTTGGATAATGAACACAATAAGATTATTAGATGGACCAAGGAGAAAAAAAATAGAGGTAATAATGTACAATCCAATTATCCCAAATTAAGGAATGTGTGAAGTATTCATTCCTTGTTTGGAAATGTGGGCAATCTTTAGAGTGCAACAAATGTGGCTATTGCCGCTTGGACTATCTGTTGTCCCACTCCTGGTATATCCTATCTGTGCCACAACATCAAAGCACACTCATCCACTTGTATTTAAGGTTAATTTTCCTTTAATTGGGGGGAACTTGCTTTGCTTCTCTTTGGGCACTATTCTTTTGCATCATCTTGTTTCAAATTGAAGAGGGGAAATATAATATTTGTGCAATTTTAACACAATTGGGGAAGCTTCTATGCTCTTCACTAATCTTACACCTGTCCCATAATTATATGCTAATTAAGCACCTTCAAACATTACTGAAAAGAAACATATTTTACTCATGCGTTGGGTGAATTTAATGTTGTCCGTAATGATGATTAGACCACATCATCCGGTACTAAGCCTACGCTCCACTATCTCTAATCATCTCTGCTATCATTATTTCATGCAATCTCTATTGGGGTGCTACAACTAAAAAAATAATAATATAAACAGGAATCACTACCGGTAGTAAACAATAAATATTATAAATATTAACATAAAAATAAATATAATAATAACGATACATTGACAATTGACCTTATCATAACTCAAGTATAATTTATCTAAGATGATTATTAATATAAGAGAACTAATTTAGTCATTCAAATCATTAATAGGTCAATAATATAACAAAATATATTTTAATTGTAGAAACAATGTCAAAACTAATCCTCACAATAGAAAAGAAAAAAAAACATACTACAATAATAGAAAAAAACATAAACTATTTTCACTAAAAAAGGAAATTCATAATTCGGAAGTCTCCCACGGAAGCTGCTCTCAACCTGGCGTTGGGGGCAGCCTACTATCCTACCTCTCTTACCCCATTACATATGGGAATAAGGGTAAGTTAATTAAAAAATTTAAAATTTGAAAATAAAGATATGAAAATAAAAGGGAAAAATGATAAATAAGAAGAATCCAACAAAAATTATAATAAAATATGAGTGATAATTATTCGAGTAAAGCCAGTCACATTACCTTCCTAATAAAAAAATTAAGAAAAAATGTAGAAAAAATGAGGAGATAAAAAACATAGTAATTTATTTGAGTAATTTTTTATTCAACATGTATTAATAATTGAACGTTGATAAAATGCGAGAAAGAATGGTTCATCATGTCATCCCTAAGAAATGGAATAAACTCCGTTAAAACTGCTAAAGTACTTCGCCACATCAGACAGTACACTCCTTATATATGGAGAGAGATGAAAGCAAGGCAAAACAAATCCACAACTACATAGACAAATACTTGCCTACTACCACTTTACCAGTACTGCTACTCTTCTTTATTTCAAACATGTCCTTGAAAGTAGCTGCTGTGAATTTTCCAACGGCGGGGAACGAGATGTTAACGGTGGTAAGAGAGTACGATGAAGAGAAAGACAGGGCGGGTGTGGAGGAGATGGAGAGACGATGCGAAATCGGGCAAGGAGGAAAGCCTTCACTTGTGGCTGACCTTTTAGGCGACCCCATTTGTAGAGTCCGCCATTTCCCTTCTCACATCATGCTGGTATACCATTTATAATAACCATTGCAAGTGTTGCACGCTTATGATTTTATTACCGTGAATACATATTATATATATAGTAATGAAAAATGATTTAATCACAGGTAGCAGAATATGGAGATGAAAGAGAGATAGTAGGAGTTATAAGAGGCTGTATAAAAACGGTCACAAGGGGCCATTCAGTATATGTAAAGTTGGCTTATATTCTGGGTTTAAGGGTTGCTCCTTCCCACAGGTTTATTTTTGTTTTAAATTCATCTATTGTTTCTGTTGCCTAAAATATCAAAACAATATGTATGTATATATATATGTATATATATATATATAAGGATGGAGTTAGGATGAAAGTTCCAGAGAGACTGATAACATAAAATTTAAGAATTAAATGTTAAATTATCAATTTGAAAGGATCAGGGTTTAATTTTCATTTTAAGTTGCTAAATTTTATTGTGATCAAATAAGTATTGGTTTGATTTATGTTCGGATATTAATTCTCACACTGTTTTGTCTTTTCATGCTTTGTTCAACTCCAATTTGGCTGTTTTAATTAATTACAGTTTTCTTTTAAAACAAAGGTTCCTGCTGGTATCACAGAATGCCAGCTAGCCTTGCACTGACACTTGTTTAGAATCCACTTCATTATAAATGAGATATTCCCATAAAAGAAGAAGAAATTATATATATATATATGTGCTTCTTTCTTCTTAATGGTCCACTAAACTGTCCGCTGAATTCTTTTGATGCTGCCGCCTTTCCTTATGTCATTCTTTATGAATTACACCACACTCTTTTATTACCACATTTTTTATTGCGTAATGCTTCTTATCATTGTGCTTTGGAATGTTACTTTGTTAAGCCTTTATTGCTGTTTATTTTCTAGTGTAATCCATAATCATGTATGTTATTTTTTCCAACGAAAAGCAGGAGGCTAGGCATGGGGAAAAAACTGGTTCAGAAATTAGAAGAATGGTGTAAGCAGAATGGAGCAGAGTATGTATATATGGCCACAGATTGCACCAACGAAGCATCCATCAATTTGTTCACCAGAAATTTTGAATACACCAAATTCCGCACCCCAACAATGCTGGTGCAGCCGGTCCATGCTCATTACAAGCCGTTAGGCTCCAGCATAGCCATCGTCCGACTCCACCCGAAGCTCGCCGAGACCATTTACCGTCGAGTATTCGCAAACTCGGAATTCTTCCCTAAAGACATAGGTGAGATTTTGTACAACAAGTTAAGTTTGGGGACGTTCATGGCCTTACCGAAGAAGAGTCTCCCGGAATGGGATCCCAAAACAGGGATTCTTCCATCGAGTTTCGCCATTACGAGTGTTTGGAGCACCAAGCAACTGTTCAGGTTGCAAGTTAAAGGGGTGTCGACGTTGACGTACGCTTGTTGCATGGCTTCAAGGGTGCTTGATGCTTGGATGCCATGGCTGATGTTGCCTTCCTTTCCCGACGTTTTCAGGAAGTTTTGGGTTTATTTTTTGTACGGTTTACACATGGAAGGCAAGAATGGAGGCCGGCTCATGAAATCTCTTTGTGCCTTTGCCCATAACATGGGTCGTGACGATGATGGGTGCGGCGCCGTGGTGGCGGAGGTGGGACAGAGGGACCCTGTTCGAGAGTTTATCCCACATTGGACCAAGTTTTCTATGTCCGAGGATTTGTGGTGCATGAAAAAATTTCACGATGGGTCCGGTGACTTATGTGGGTCCTTGATTGGTTGAAATCTCGACCTTCTTCACCGCTGATCTTTGTTGACCCACGAGATATTTGACTTCTTTTGTGATGATTATCTTAGAAAGTCATAATTTCATTATAAGCATTAATATAATTGTTTATTACTAGATCAAGGAAACTAATTAAATGGTCATTATTGACCATCGTTTTCAACTTTTAAATTTAAAGATGATTATCTTAATTTGTGGAAATAATATGGAGTAGTTAAAAGAGTGAATTTAGATTAATAAATTTAGGGATATTGACAAAACCATGGTGTTACTCTTATAAGTACCTTTAAATAAATAACCCATCCAATTATTATTATTATAGTATAAAGCACAGACCCTTTCGGCCGAGAATCAAATCCAATAAAGGATCTAAAATTAAAATCCAAATATATAATAACTTTTATTTTATATATTACCTTAATAAAACTAAAATACTGTTCATTAAAAAATCCATCCCCTGCCATTTGTCAAGCTGTGAACTTCCCTTTTTCGGGACCAATGGCCAATGCTCTCCCTCACTAGCACGTGTCCTATCTGTCTTGACTTAGAAAATCGAGGATTGCGGGGCCAAGGCAGCCCAGGTTGGCACACTTGGCAAAACACATTTATTTCCAGGACAGAAGGAATCAGTAGCTGTCCTTGCATGTTATTTTTCTAGGGATTACCATATATTTGGATGTTTGAAATAAGTAAAAATTACCGATGATCGGTATATTTATCGATTTAATATTGATCAGATTATATTTTTTGATCTAACATATTTAGCAGTAAAGCGCACTTATTGTACTGAGTTATATGTTGATTTGGCGCCACGTGGGGTAAGACGCGCCCCCTGAAGCGCGTCTTATGCTGACATTGATACACATGTGTAAAGCGCGGGATAGGTGTGTAATTACACATAAGGCGCGGGGCAGGACCACGCCTTACCTGTGAATCTGACAAGCGCACGCCCCCTGCCCCGCGCTATACCCATAATTACCCTCATACCCCGACGTTTCACACCCTAATGGTCCCTATAAATATCCCCATCCTCAATCACTTTCATCACACCAAATTCTCTCAATTTCTCTCAACTTCTTTCAAATATTCTTATAATCTCTTCTAAAGTATATTTTATTATATTTTTAATATTTTTATATTTAATTTATTTAAGTATTTAATTTATTTAATATTTTACTTATTTAATTTTTTTGCAGATATAAAATGGCAGACGGTCTACTTCGCTTGGATGCAAATCATATATCTCGACACTTTGCTGATACGGTAACATTTTAACGTTTTAATTTAATTTAAATTATTAGTAATAATTTGTTGATTTATTTAATGCATGATTATTAGATTAAGAATTAATTTTTGTAATTGTTTAATTTTAGGAGAAGGACCGTGTATTAGATCATTTTATTAGGAATCTTAAGTTAGTGATACCTAGCTGTGTCTTGTCGTATTTAGTAGATGCTGGATTCGGTTACATAGGTAGATATTAGAGTCACTGTAAGATAGAGCCAGACCTGATTTCTGCCATAGTAGAGCGGTGGAGGCCGGAGACCCACACATTCCATCTTCCGTGCGGAGAGTGCACGATTACACTTGAGAATGTTTCTATGCACCTGGGGCTTCCGATGGATGGAGATGTGATATCGGGGATCACGCAGGGTTCCTGGACTACTTTGTGTCGGGATAATCTAGGACATGTCCCGGAAAATTTTAACGGTGGTCGGATACCGTTAAATTGATTAGATGCCAATTTTCGTGATTTGAGCGAGGACTCGTCTGAGGATGAGTTAAAATGTATGCACGGGCATGCATACTGCAGCTGATAGGATGGTTGTTGATGCCGGACAAATCGCACAACCAAGTTCACTGCATGTGGTTGCGACACCTTGGCGACTTTCATCTGGCCGGATCACTCAGTTGGGGCGTATTCCTGACGCGTGTCAGATTCACAGGTAAGGCACGACCCCTGCCCCACGCCTTATGTGTAATTAAACACCTACCCCGCGCTTTACACAAGTGTATCCATGTCAGCATAAGGCACGCTTCAGGGGCGCACCTTACCTCACGTGGTGCCAAATCAACATATAACACGGTGCAGGGGGCGCGCTTTACTGCCAAGGGTGTTAGATCGAAATATAGTCTAATCGTTGTTAGATCTGTAAATATACCGGTCACGGTAATTTTTTGGGAAAAAATCTTCACGAGGTGATAATTTTTTTTTAAAAAATAAGGTTAGTCGGGATTTTTTATACTATATAATTCAATCTTAACCCTTATATTTATATATTAGATTTTTTTCTTCAATTTTCTTTCTTTCCCATTTTTCATTTTAATTCTCTTCTTGCCTCTCTCATATATTTTTAAAATAATATCAAATAATTATAAAATAATATTTATTCAAAAATTTCTTAACAGGTTGAAAACTCACATATATTCAATAACGTTATTACTTAAACTCAATACTTCTAGAACAAATAACATTTTATTTTATTACTAAAATCATTTGATAGGTTTATCATCTCTCGTATATGTCACATCGACCTTTTCCCTTCTTTTTCTATTTTATCGGTTGTTTATTCATTTACATCACATAATAATTTTATTATATTTATAAAATCATACATTTTTTTATATATAGGTTCAAATTCTTCATTTTGCTTTATTCTCTTGTTTCTTTTTATATTTTTTCTCTTTTCTTTATGGTAGCATATTGAATCGAAGTTGGGCTGATGTAAGATTCATAGAAAAAAATTAGAATTAGATTTAGGAAGAATTAATTAATATTTTACTTAAATTAGATTGAGTTAGAGTATATTGAATTGGTGTCGAAGTGTACTCGTCCCATCATGTTGCCAGTTGCCACCCCTAATCGTTTCACGTTTGAGATGAATTTAGTGAACCGAAAATTATTGGATTTTAATTGTTTTACTTGGAAAAAAAATTCAGACCCAACTTTTGTAAAGTATTTAGTTTAATTTATCTCATTTATGACGTGATTTTACTTTCTTTAAATAATAATTTCCTGGAAAAAAAATAAAATAACAGATTCTACGTTCTTGGGGTTGTGATAATTCAAGTAGACTTGTAGTTTTCTTAAGCTTTGAAATTTTAACAGAAATGGCACGGTGTCATCCTCCAAACCTCCAAGAGATGGCTTTTAAGTTTTAATATATTGTTCACGTTACTTGAACCTAGGAGGAGAAAAGATAGTAAGAGCCGAATGCATGGTTTAATATTTGGATGGTAAATTTGTAAAATTTTAAGGGACTTGTAAGAAAATGAAAACAGATTTAAAAAAATTAAAATATATAAAATTAAAATTTTTAGGACGAACTATCCCTGTAAGAGCTTTACGGGATGTAATATCCACTGAAAACCCAAAAAAAGAAAGAATCTGTCTTCTGTTATACCTACCACTCTCAAAATCACAAAAAAGATTTCATGAACGCAGGCGGCAACTGTGTGCACTTGAAGGCTAACTCCATTTACAGAGTTTAGAGAATTCCAGAGAAGAAAAAAATAGTATTGAAGTGAGAATGAAAATCCTTGACTTCATTTCAAGAACTCAATGCGACTAAAACTAAATGCAAAGGACGTTAAAGAAACGCAACAGAGAATTCATGCTCCATACAACTTCTATGATGCAAAGAAGTACTGATGATATCTTATCTCCTGTTATTTGACTCTGTTCGGTACCATACCTTTGTTGTTGTTCGTACTAGCGTTGTTTTACAAACTGATGGTGACCTGCTGCTTTATTTTGCATTAGTTTTTCCACTCTTTCAGTTGGTTATCCTGCTTGATTGTGGAGAAATGAAATTTCAATCATAAGAATGAAAAATCAAAGGTGAATGCTTTCTGGACCTCTAAGATGGACTATGAAAAGGAGTAGCAACCTAAGAGTCTCAAGAAAACAGTGTTGATATATTTACCCCCTCCTCCTCGGTTCCTCTGCTCTTTCTTCTCTAACAACTTCTTAGTTTCTCAAGCAGCCTTCACATGTCAGGTTTTGATATAACATACAGCCAAATGATTAAATCATTAAACTAACAAAATAAACAAATAAGAGTGGAATTCTCAGAAACCAATTTGATGAGCCGTAGCTAAATCAGCATTCTAAAGTAAACCCTTTTAATTACTTTATACCAGATGCATGTCAACGAATAAACGTGGCAGACACCTGGGAAGAAAGAAACTGATCATTGACAAATAATTCATTTTGCTAACTAGTTTGGGTTCTCACTTACACCAGTCAAATAGAACTACTCTCAACTTATACAAACATAAAGTTCAGATTAAGATTTTCCAAAAAAAAAAAAAGAAAAAAAAAAGAGAGGAGTATGCTTACAGTAGGAGGTGGAATTCTCTGAAATCAATGACTAGAGAGACTCCCAACTTACAAAATACAACTCAGATGACATCCGAAAGGTGTTCACTAAATAGGGCCAGAAACTCGGAAATACTTCAATAAGGTTCTGTATAAGGATCCTAATTATTAACAACGTGAACATATATAATATTGATGCAGTTCCCATCTGGTCTAAAGTTTCTCTTAGCTATCAAGAATAGACCATATTAGAGAAAAGATGCCAAGACTATTTTATCTTTGCCAATACTAGTTGTCAACAAAGGAAGCATGCACAACTAGCACAAGGAAATATGATTTAAGCAGTACATTTGCTTTTATGATTAGGATAGTAAATAGCTCAACCATCAATGTATTTGAAGAGGAAGATCATCCTCTTATTTATCTCTGGATAAACATTTGACATGGGTACCAGGCATGGATTCTCTAAGGAAAATAAAGACTAGTGCTCAGTGCTATGGAAAACAAGGAATATGGATTCCTGTCATATAATAAAACTTCAAAGCATAAGAATCATATGGTATAAGCTCATAAACAAATAATGATCATACCATTTGAACTCTTTCTCTCTTCTTTATATATATATATATATATATATATATAGTATTTCACATAAACAAAATAATATGGCTTAAACATGTTTGAATATGCCACTATTTCAATTTGACTTTTGTCAAGTCAATTTTACCGCATGATGACTAAGTTTGTTTCATGTTATTCGCCATATTTGAACACACAGAACCCTATATAAACCCAGAAGA